TATAAATAGAATAAAAAAATTTTAATTGAAAATACTGATTGTAGTGTTTATAAAATATTGACTAGAAAATTTTTTAAAGAACAGGTTTTATAACTCATTATCAAATACAATATTATACAAAAAATTTATTAAATACTAAAATTATAATGCGATTTTTAATTTTCGTGGGAAATTTGCCAATTCATCAAGAATTTCGTTTGTCGTTGAAATCAAATCTCTATGGATATTTAACAGAGCTAACCTATTCAGCCGAGATTAGGAAGAAGTATTTTGTAAATAAGTTTTCAACCTTCTCAATTTGAAAAAGGTCCTTACATTCGTATATGTTGTAATAGGCAAACATGCAAGAATATTAAATACCTTCAAAATATTTGGAAATAAAGCCAAGGTTTCCTTATACCGATTAAGCGCATCAATAGCATGCTCAGGTAAAATAATAAACGTAGTAAATATTTATACCACAATTCGAATTCACTGATTAAAGTGATTTCAGTATCAATATCAATATCATAGGAATAAAATTTTGCTAAATATTTAATTTTACCAATAATGGCATCAGAAAACGAAGAAGGGTCTTTAGGTAATAAAATATGAAGATTACCAAAGACTTGTTTTTTATCTAAAAACCGTACTTTAATTTGCGATAAAAAAGTATATAAGAATGGGATGAAATTGGATATTTTATAAGATTTAGTTTGATTCAACGTCTATATAAATATTATGAAATATTTATCTACATTCATTCTTCCTGTTCACATTTTCCTCCAAATCAATAACTTGAACCAAATCGAAATTTGGTTTTTGTAAATTTCTACATAGTAGTGAGCTATAGGAAAATAATTTCTTAATGCAACTAGCAGTAAGGATTAACTGCTTGATATTGAAAAATTTTGACAGGGCAGGGGGGGGGGGTAAAATTTTTATTAGCTTAAAATGATATTTAGGAAAACAGTCAAATTTGCGATGGGGGGTGATATTATCCCCCCTATTGGTTACGCCCCTGCTTGGTGATATTTCAAAATGATTACGGGCCTAAAAAATATGTTCTTATATAATTATTTATAATAAATAAATTTAAAACATTGTGGTTTTTAATCTTCGCTTAAATTTTAACCAAATATCTAATCTTTACAATTGAATCGCAAAATATTTATACAATTCATTTTTTTCTTTACAATAACAAAAAAATTATATATTAGTGAATATTACAACTGAAGGCGATAAAAAAATTAAGAAAGAAAGATAAATCATGTTTTATACTTTATATAATGTAAGAAAAAAATATATTGTCAAAATGTATAAGAAAAACATAAAAGATATTTCTTTTTTTTTTGTCACGTCTGGTTTGAGATTGCCAAAAATTGATAATGATAGTTTTATATTATTATTGGTGTAAAAAATACTATTTATTTATGTATTTGTTATAAACAGATACATACCACTGTATCTGTAATATAATATTATTAAACGGATTGAAATAAAACACACAAGTCGTAGAGCTTTTGATGACAGTGAAAAGATGTAAAAGTTTTTCTTCTTTTTTTTCTATAAAAATTCGATATCTTTTTATATAGAAAAAACAGAAATAAGGGATTAATTTATTAAAAAAATTTAAAGGGTAATTAATTAAAATTTATTAAATACCTATTTTTGTATTAGTCAAGAAATATTTATTCATTACAAAAATAAAAGTTGACATAGCAAAATTATTTGTGAGCATTATGCTTGATTTAAAATATGTTTAATCTTATTAATTATCTTGATTTAGAAAGATTGATTTCCACTTTAAAAAAACAGTTTTTTTTTTTCAATTAATAGTCTTATTTATTTATCAACCTTTGTATATATTTAAAATTAGATGATTTTATGATATGATATCGAATCTGTCTGATTGTACACACTCTACATACATTGAAGTCTCCCATTGAAAGGCAATTTGTTAAAGAAAAGACATTTAAATATTTTTTATGGGTTTATTATAGACACATTGGTAGTGACTACAGCTGACTTCGATGTATGTACACTTTTAATAAATTAATCGTCAGTGTAGGCTAATACCATTAGTCGATTAAATTTTTTAAGAATTATCGGCTGAAATTAGGGATGAAAAAAACTATTTTTTTCGGCTACTACAATACAATCTTATATTTAAATTGCCAATTTTATTACAAATTTTTTTTCAAAATCGCAATCATCCAATATATTCTACCAATATTTGTTGGATATTTTTCATCGCTATAATCATTTATAACTTGTTCACACCTAATTTTTGAGGTTATTACAAAAAAATAATTTTTTTGAGAAAATTAATCTTTGAAATGTTTAAAAATAATTTTTATGCCACTTCCTGGCAATACGTTTTTTTGATTTTCCGAGTCATGTTTCCAACAATTTTTTATTTTATTTTTTAAACAAAAGATAACAATTTGTCGAATTAGTTTTTTTGCATAATCAAATATTTGAAAAAAAACTTTTTTTGTTTTATACATTTTTACTTAGCCGATATCCATAAATTGGCGGATCCGATATATCTAGACTTAAAGGCCGAGTTTTATCTCGGCTGAGTATCGAATCTTACTGGTGCCAAATATTTATTTTTAATTTTTTTAAATTAAATATATTAATATATTGGAAACAACTTTTTGAAATAATTTAATATGTAAAATTTGTAGTTATAATATTACTCTTGTAAACATAAATACGATTATAAATTATAGTTTTCATCTATGAAAATATTTAATTTCGACAAAGAGCATAATAAAGGTCTTCCAGTGTTCAAAAACTCATCAGTTGTGAGACGAAAATAATTAATAACATACTTCTAATTGTTCCAAATTCTGATGACGAATGATTCGAACTGAATAAAGTCATGTAAGGCAGTAAAGACACAGCATGTTGTCACGTGAATTGTACAGAGTTAACATGATTTCTTTTAAATATTCATTTGCTATGTTTATCTATTGAAAAATTTATGTATTTAAATAGTATATGAATATTGGTTAATTGGAAATCTATAATCATATTTGTAAAAATAATGGATATACGTTTAGGGCACATCATTTTTGAACTGAAATTAAACGGTATTCTTGAAAGTTTTAAAGTTCTTCCATAAAGTCCTTATTGAGAAAAGATTTTTAACCGAATAAAACATCACGCTATTGCTGACATGAATCTAAGTTAATGATTAAATATATGGAAAAAAAGATAACTGTTCAATTTATTTTTATATAACACTACAGCTATTATATCAAAATGAACATAATATTTTTATATAATTGTAAAAATAAAACACTTAAAGATATTTTTTTTAATATATAAATCTTAAATAGTAAATTTTTTTTAATTAGCATAAACCATATTTTTTCAAATTGTTCATTTTTAAAACGAAATAAAATATATTTGAGCCCTTCATCGGGCCTATATTTTAAAGTCCGGTCCTATCCGAGAATATTTTTTTTCAAAGATCCGCGAACCGATCCCAAATTTTTATTGTAAAATAGGTTCGATCTTAATTTTTTTTTTAAATTTGACTGATGAAAGAAAGTATACGGTATATTTTAATAAAATCAGAAAAATTATAAGCCCTGAAAGATAGTAAAACTAGGGGTCCAAACCGAACCTTTTAGGCCGGATCTTTTATCGAACCCGAACCATCTAGTGATTTTTACCTGAACTTAACTGCTAAAAATGCTTGTGAACCAGTTCAACTTCATGATATTATGCTTATAAAATAATGTGAATGTTATTACTGGTATATTACTAAAATTTAAATTTATATCCGAATTATTTTAAAGATTATTATTAATCAATTTCGATTGAAAAGTTTAAGTCAGTTTTTATTTCTATTTTACAATATTTTTACTTCCCCTTTTTTCTGAATTTTTGAATCGGCGGCGTGACAAGTACTGACACTTTTTGGCGGTGGTGTGATCCCGCCCGCAGCAGATTTCTGCGATAGCGCACAGGCTTAGATATATCAAATAGATGAGTTAATTATATTTAATATTAGTGTATTTTTGGTTTGTTCCTATTTCATAAATGTATCGTAAACCAGTTCGGCTGACAACGAATCAAATCGGTCTCTAAAAAGTTGTATACATCGGTACACTTCCCTAACGGCACAGCTGCTTCGAGTTCAAATTCGTTGTTAAGTTCTTTTTTTAAAGCATAAATGAAACAATGTCTCATTAAATATTCGTCCTCCCCCTTTGTATCGTCGTGATTTATTCAAAAAAAATTAATCCCTTTTTAAAAAAAGGGAAAAAAAATTAATCTAAAAAAGAACTGAATTATTCAAAAATCAATATTAAAAATATAATTTATTATTCGAAATAGCTTATTTTTTTCTTTTATTTTTATGAAAATGAATATCACAATTCACAACATAATCCTTCTTTTGAAATTTTTTTCATTATTAAAAATTATTTAATTTTTTTTTTTGATTTATGGTTTATAATTTTTTTATTTGTTTAGCTTAATACTTAAGCAAAATATCTTTTTAAAATGATTTCTTGACTACATCACACTATTTGGATAAATTGTGCCAAATTAATTTAATAATTTTGTTTTCATTTTTAAAAAATGTAATGATTTTTTTTTATCATACTATAATTGTAAACATTATATCTTAAGACGTTTCGAGTAAATTTCATAATTAACTTATTTTAAACCTATTAGCGGTGTTGGTTGACTGGTTATTAATTTAAATAATGGAAGAATTATTTTATTTTTAATAAGTTTTAGGGCTCAAATTTTGAATAAAATTTTAGATTAATGATTTGTTATTTTATGTAAAATATTATCATTTATTCTAATAAATCTATTCCATAAGACTGCGACATGAGAGATAAAGTGTGCTAATGTCCATGAATTTGATTGGAGCAACTAAAATATTTTTCACCACCCTTCAATAAAAGAGTTACCTAGAAACTCCACTATTAATCAGAAATTAAAATCATATATAATAAAAATAATAAATCTTTGCAAAAAAAATTATCCAGGAATTCCTAGAATATCACCTTACCCATTTCCGTCGCCTCATCAATATTCCCCCCATCATCAAGCTCTATATCCTTCCGATTTTAGACAAGGCAGTTGGCCGACGCCGCCGGCATTGTACCAACATCCCATTTCATCTCTACCTTACAGTCCCGGAGCTCACCCATTTCCTCATAATTTTGCCAAGTAAGTTTTAAATATACATTTTATAAGTGTACAATTAACAAAACTATTTATTACCTCTAAAACGCATTACCAATACTCGTCATTTTATTTTTAAAGTAATTCCATTACTAATGGAGTTACTTTCTTCGGTGTTACCTAACAACACTACAAATTGTTTATTTAATTTGTCATTTAATTGTTTCCAGAATTTTGTATTATTTAATATAATCAAAAAAAATTAATTACTTGAATTTAAAAATAAAAAAACACAACAAAATTTTATAAGATTTCATAATATTCGATGAATTTAATATGTAACTATAGGTACAGTCCCCCGTTATTGTCACCAATAACCGCTTCATCTTTTGGAGCAGCTTGTCTCTCTCCAGCATTTATGCCCGTCAATTCGATGAAATCTGATTACATGTACCATCATCCCGATTTAAAGTATGCCTTTATTTATATTTATTTAATATTTTCCCACATTTGTAAATGTTCGGATTCTATACACAGGCATGTTAGAATTTTTCTAAAGCGGGTAGTATTAGACAGGTGTAAATGAAGACTTATGTTATTAGCTCAGAATAGAAATTCAAACTCAGAATTAAGAAATACATAAAGCTAAGAATTTTAAAATTTCACAGATAGTTTTCATAAAATCTAAGACGATTTTCTGAGTATATTTTTTCTGAGCTATTCATTTTTTAATCTAAGCCATATAAATATTATGGAAGCCTGGTCATTTTATTTCGTAGATGGCAGAAACTTGCCAAATCTCGCTTACATAAAGTTATTTTGGCTAAAATTTTAATTGGGTATTTTTTAAAAATAGACCCGAATCGGGCTTTTAAAAACCCTATTAAACAACTTGAACCCTTTAATAATAATCAAATGACAGTTTTTATTTCCAATGTAATGTGACCGATAATTTGTCAACTTCTTCCGATTTGGATCCACTCTATCGAATATTAAAAAATATCAAAAAGACAAATAAACTAAAATGGCGACCAATATGGCCCCTACAGTTTGAAGCGAGAGAATTTAAAATATTAATATTAAATTTGGTAAGCAAGTTAAATTATATCATGTCTTTTTTCAAGATTTTAATGATACTCAAGAAAGCTATATATATAGTTACAAATTTATATTCATTAATTGTAAATAAATTTATATGTGCCAATAAAATAAAGACAGGTTTGTAATAAATTCTGAATTTCATAATATGTTAATAAAAAAGAATTTAACCAATCAGCCTATATTTTTAAGGTCTACCATAGCTCATTTTTTCAATTTACAACTAATAATGATATTTATAATTTTTATAAAGAAAAGATGGTGCTGATAATGTTTCTATTATTTTAATTTACATAACCTAATTTTAAATGTTAAGTAAATAAAAAATAAAATTTATAAGATATATTTTTTTGTTAAATATAGTACTTTGTTATATTAGTATTGGAAAATATGTAAAATATTTTCTATAGGCTGAATGGAGTATTGAGAGGTCTATATTTATGGGCAAGTTGATCTACTAAAATTTAATTTTATAATAAAAAATAAAATATCATAATCATACATATCGGATTTGGTGTGGGTAGGATCCTTTTGATTGATAATAGAATGTGCACCTTTATTTACTATATAAATATAATAATTATGTAATTAGAATAGCATAAAATATCTGCATGTCATATTTAATTAATAGTTTTAAAAAAATTGGTTACCTTTATACTTCCTATTTATATAAACTTAAAGTATTATGCTGGGTTGATTATTGAAAAATGGTATTTAACTTGTAAATCCAACTAAAGTAGGCCGTAAATGATAATCACATTTTTTCACCTTTTCGTAAGGCGATAAAATGTATAAACATAATCATAATTCGAGACTACGGGACGATAGGCTTCCTAGATAACACTTTTTATAACTTTGAATAAAAAAATATTAATTGTCTGAGGTTCCTTTTACTAAAATATAATGACTGACACATAACATTTTATATATTGTAAATGATTCATAAATTATTTAATATTACCAATAAATTTAATTTCTTTTATCTCGTAATCTTAAAAAATACCTATGCCTATTTCTTGTTAATATAAATATACTTTTCTTATTATAAATAATATAAGTTATATTTTGATATTTTGTTTCTTCTTAATGTCATGTATCTATTTGAAATATTAAATGAAGGCATTATTTTTTGGACCTCATATTTTAGTCCTTAAGGATATGGATGTCCCCTCATTTTAAATCTATTAAATTATTTATATATTTAAAATTTTTTATAAATATATCCAGATCATCGCCTCACTTTCCTTCCCCCCTCGACCCTTCACATTTATCACATCATCCACACCCGGCATTCAACCTAAATTTCAACCATCATCAAAGCCCTTACTCTCACCCTTTGATGAATAATGGAATGAATGGTTCGCCTTTCTTGAATAATAACAACACTCCCTCGAAAAACGGGAAATCAATCATTTTCAAGAATACTCCCAATGCTAATAACGGAATCCCCAATAATTCGAGTTACAACGGGTCCTTGAGCAATCACAACAATCTTTTCATGAACGGATTTCATCACCCGTTTTACCATTTTCCACCATCTCATCACTCGATCTCATCCCTTCCAACCCTGACTCCCATTTCTTCGATGTTTCCTACGAATCCTAATAATAGTAATAATAACACTGACAATAACCAGGTACCCAACTCTAAATCCAAAATTCGAACCGGTCCTTCCTCCCCTAATTCCCTTAACATAAACAATGACCCAGACCCATCTAATCCCTACTCCCTGCATGACATTGCAAACAAAAATTCCAAAGTCATTAATGGTAAAATTTCGGTCAAAAAGAAAAAATGTCACAATAATAACAATTCCAACGGTAATTCGAATCCCAACAACCCGATTGTTCCACATATAAAAAAGCCATTAAATGCTTTCATGCTTTTCATGAAGGATCAACGATCGAAGGTAATGGAGGAATGCACCCTCAAAGAGAGCTCCGCTATCAATCAGCTCTTGGGCAGAAAAGTTTGTTTATTTTTTTTAAAACATAAGTATCCCTGATAATATGTGAGTTTAATATTTTTAAATTTATTTTTTAAAATTTAATAAAAATAAAAAATTTATTTTGGACCATAATTGTTTTAATATTTGTGTATATAAGTAAATTTAATTTTTAAACCATTTAAAGTGGCACAGTTTAACTCGTGAAGAACAGGCTAAATATTACGAAATGGCTCGGAAAGAAAGGCAAATACACATGCAACTCTACCCCGGCTGGACAGCTAGGGATAATTATACTTCCCACAATAACGCAGTAGGAACTAAAAAGAGGAAGAAAAAACGGGAGAAAGTCGTGGACCCTTCCGACATAAACACCGGTAAAACTTTTATATACCTAATGTTAAGTTTAGGGAAAATGTATAGAGTGCGATATTTAAACTTTCAATGGCTTTTATTATTGAATATAATTTTTTAATAAACCGATACATTTAGATACAAGCATCGGTACGATACATTTATTTATTGCGATAAGACAATTATGCTGATTATATATTATTACTTTTAAATTTAAATTCCTTAACAGAACTATCGGCATCAAAAAAGTGTAGGGCAAGGTACGGCATAGATCAACAGAATAATTGGTGCAAACCCTGCAGGTATTATACCTCGGTAATTTTATTGATGCTATTTTAAACAATATAAATTATAAACTAGTCCTCTTTTTATAATAGATTTACTGGTAAAAGTGTCATTAAAGTTTAAAAAAAATAAAGAGAAAAAAAATCGCTTGTCATAATTCTTATACGATATATATATATATATATATATACATTACAAAAATTTCAGGCCCAATTTCCAATTTTTGATTAAGGTTGCCCGGTCCCGTTTATTTATATAAGCCATAACCCGAAATATATGCAGTTAAACGGGTATTTGTAATATTAAGGAGTGGGTAAATTAAAAACACTACACTTTATGGATTATCACTTCTATCAAATATCAGAATTCATCAATAATCCAGCCCAATAATTGTTCTCCCGGCCCATATAATTTTTTTATACCATTCGGTAGGGCATTATAGACCTCGAATATTATGCTTCATATGTGTCTTAAATATGACCGAATTAATCATACTACTAAAATATTAGAGGGTTAGAATTTTTACGCTATTAACTTGATATTTAATTTCTAATTGAACCACATTACTGAACTGGTTTAGTTTCATATTTAGGTTTGTTTGGGTGGAACTCATAAAATCTCAACTTAACCACGACTTTCCAGTAAGCAAGGATAACTAATTTTAGCCTAAATTAAAATTAAATACATATATACGAAGAGCCAGCCGAATGTGATGGATTATATAATTATCGTCATAGTTCATTTCTTTAACGCACCTTTTTATTCGCATTAAATTTTTAAATTTGGAATTGATGTCCTAAACATGAAATGGTTAATCTACAATAATTTTTTATAAAAAAATCTATTTTTGATAAATGTGAAATAATATATCAAAATTTAGCCTGTTTTGGATATTTGTTTCATTATTTTGAGAGATTACCATTATTCATCTAATTTTAAATTGTACCAAATAGTTAATTTACAATAGAGCTCACAAATTTTCTAGGGCTAGCTTGGACCGAACCTTGATTATGGAATGTCGGAACGCGGGATTTAAATTATTTTGTTTTCCTTTTATTATTATTCTTTTCAAGCAAATAACAAATTTTTTAAAATTTTTCCTCTAATGCGCTTGTAATTTTTCGTTTTCTTGAAAAATTTTATTTCTGATTAAAAAAATATATATAAATTATAAAATAGTTATGTAATTTTAAAAAATTGTTAATGAGGGGTTTTTGATTCTTATATAAATTTATGATACTGTTTATAAAGTTTGTTAAAAAAAATAGGAATATTGCATGATAATTAAAACATCCCCTTGTTTTTTACAAAAATTATTGTAACTATTTTAGGAGGAAGAAAAAATGCATCAAGTTCATTGAGGACTACGAAACCAACCCAACTGATAACATTACCCAAGATTTCAAATTAGAAAATTCACAACAACCGCTCCTCGATAATAATTGTGACAGCACATTAAACTCTTCTCAATTAATCGACGTATACAATAACTATACCAAAGTTCTTAACAATGGCAATGATCGCAATGGAAATATTAATAATATCGTTAATACAAACAAAATCGACCATTCGAACCCTTCCTCCTCTTTCATATTAAACGACAACAGAACCGGTTCATGCAATATAGATGGAAGCGACGAAACTTCTACGTCCAGTTTCATTAGTCACAATAGCGATAAGCTAATCGACGGAGTTCTACCTGTAAACCAAAATAACAACGACGATGAAACTAACCTCATTGAAAAAATTCATCATAGCAAAACAGATTATTCGACGACTGCCTATGACAGCATATCTCAAAAAAAAATTGTTTCTACGGATCCACCTAATTCTGATACTAATCAAATAATTGGAGAAGGAAATACTGATCAAAGCGATAAAGTAACTCATAAGGACAATAGTCAGAAGGAAGTCGATTGTCGGTGCAACACGGGAAATTGCAGTAGTAATAAGAAGAAAAATCGCTCTCGACATCGTTATCGCCATCCTCATCACGGCATTTATAACCAAGGCCCCGAACACATGCTTTCATCGCCATTTTCTCCTCTTTATCAACCCTACTTCCTAGCAATGCTGGGAGCAGCAGCTGTTAGTAATCAAGGCAATCCATTGGCAATCCCACAATTGCTGCCTCCTCGTGCATCTTTATCACATGATTCTAACAAGTCAAATTCTTTGTCTCCTTTTTCTATGATAAATCGCAGTCAGTCCAAGGCTAATAAATCGAAGATATCGTCTCGTACGCATGGTTTAGCACACACAGCTCATCATGGGACCGGGCGGAAACGATTTTTTGGTAACAATAGTCGAAAATCTTTAACTAAATATTGTAAAGAAACTGGTGGGATACCTTTAACAAACCCTTCACCATCTGATCCTATCTCGTCATCTCAAGAGGATGCGATGGGGCACGAAATCGAATCTAAGGTTGAATGCGGTAGTTCTTGGGACAATGATGGAGGTTCTCCACTATCGCCACTTTCGGTATCCCCTCCCAATTCGCCTTGTTGTCCCGAAGATATTGACGATAAATATAATAGCGAAGAGGGAGCAGAAGGGAGTGTAAAAAATACGAAATTACAGATCACAAAAAGGAAGTATATCCGAGAAAAAGGTGGGGTTGGCTCAACCAAAAAATTTCGGCACGATAAAAACTCTCCCATAGCACCTCACTCTTACTACCATCCCGTTCTGAGTCCTCTAAACCCATTCTGGCCTACCCCTCCTGATTTCGGTAACTTACTGTGGCGACCACCTCCTTCTTGCAATAAAAAAAGTTGCGATTGTCAAGATAACTCAGGGCCATCTCCTCCGTCTCATTTCTCTCCTTACAATAACAACGCTAACAATCGACGTCATCACTACAGTCCTCCGCCATTCCCCGACCACTTTTACCTTTACAACTACTGGATGGCAGCCAGAGCCGCCAGCGGTGATCATCATTACAGTCACCACCACGTTTCATCGCAACACAATGGAGAAACCCAGGGGGGAATATATGATTTTGAGGCTGGAACTTTCTCTCCCTCCCCCTCTAACATCAATAATAGCAATAACGCGAGTAAGCACCGCAAGACAACTCACAAATCTTATCATAATAAAAAGTTTTCGGCTGGAAGTTCTTACTATCATCATAATTATGATTCATCTACATCACACCAACATAATCTCGCTTCTTTTAGTAATGATAATCAACCTAATAGCTCTAAGGTTCACCATAAGTACAACAAATATAATAATTCCCTTAAATTTAAATGCGATAAGGATTCGTCACATAATCCTCAAAAAATGGGAATAGAGATCAAAAGTGGTAAAGCGATAGATTGCCTTGATTCTCCGCTTCAACCACCAGATTCAAGTTCCGATGTTTTGGATCATCTAAATAATGCTAGTAACAAAAGTGTGAACGATAATAGCGTTAAGAGCGAGCCAGTTAAAGACGTAGTCTTGAAAAAGCAGAAGGCTCACCCGGACGATGATGATTTGCATTGCTATCAATTCGAAGGGGCTCCTCCGAAGGATGATTTGGGCTTGGGCGTATTGGAGGAAACTGGGGAAGACGGGTTAGAGGAAGAAGGCTTAATTGGCGACATGATAAGAGAGGAAACGAATTGCAATAAACAAAACAGTCATCTTCTCGTTAATATTCGTAATAACGAGTTTAACCGTTTGGAACTAAATTATGATCATCGTTATACCGAATCTATTCAAAACGGCGGTATAGGAAACATAGATCCCGATAAGGATGCAACACTTGGTTCTAAACCAAGAGGAGAAATTTGTAACGGAGATTACCAATCGTCATCTTCTAGCGGTGTTGTGAACAGAGCTAACGCCCAAAATCATAATCAGCAGTGCAAGGTGAATATTTGTGATGGAAAATGTGATATATACATAAAAGGTATTCCAGAGCCTTCTTCTAATTTGTACGATTCCATCAAAGAAGTGGCTCATAAAAACATCCATTCCAGTCCCATAAAACAAATTTAAAAACTTTACTATATAATTTGTCCTGATTTAAAAAAATAAAATGTGGAACCGAACCAAAGATTTACAAATTATACTTTAATACTCGCAATTTTTACTTAAATCATTAATTCATGCGATATTTTAATAATGAATAGTTCTTATTATATTTTTTTCTCTCCATTAGGAAAAAAATATATTGCCCGAATTAATTAGTATTATGTATTATAAATTACTAAGAAATATATATTGTTTAAATCCAATTGTACATTTTTTTATATCATCATATATTTGCGATATTAAAATTTATATTAAAAAAGATAGTAATTTATTTATGCTCGTTTCTTTGTGATTATAATACCATTCATTCACTAATTTTGATATTATATAATATAAACCAACTATTTTATTTCAAAAATATATTTTTTTTAAACAAACAAAATATTATATTTAATTTCCATTATTTCATCTCAAAATATATAAAAAACAGATTAATATTCAATTTATAGGGTCATATTTCATTCTACTCCCCCCTTTGCTCAATTTATTTTTATTGTGAAAAACGCTTAAAAAATGGGAAAACATTGTATTTATAATTTTAAAAAGCTACATAGAAACTTGTAATACTTACCAAAATATACTAAAAAACTCGATATCAATAAAAGAAACTGTTTATACAATAATTATTTCTATTCGATAAATATATTATATACGAGTTGAAGAGAAGGAAGTAAATGAATTTGAATTTTCTAACATCCACATCAATCCAAATATAAATTAAATAGATTCAAATAAAAAAAGATATATGGTAATATTTTTTTGATTTCACAAACTCTTAAGAAAAAAATTTTGTGATCTGGAGATAAAAAAAAATTTTTGATCAAATTTTGCTCAGAATTGTAATTTTTATGCCTAAAAATTATTTTTTCCTCGTAATTTTTTTTTAAAAATTTTTAATTTTTGTTGATCCTTAAAGATTTTTGCTCACAATTTTGGGCGAAATTTCTTTAAACTTTTTTTCTGAAACTAAAAATTGCCAGATTTAATGAAATTTTTATTGGCAAAATATAAAACTATATAAAAGTGTTTTAGCAAATGATTGCTCCAAGTGTGAGCCCATTTTTAGAAACGCCTAACTCAATATTTTATCCAGAATAATATTACCCAAGCCTGAAGATCGGCATAAAATTTAATATATATGCTATTTTAGGAAATAAAATAGCGCGAGTAAGCGAAATTTAATAGATGTTTTTAGTAAATGAATTAACTCATCAACGTCATTATTTATCATTTAGGTCTGCTCAGATATAATCGAAATTTGCTGAGTTTAGTTGGCTATTATCTTATATTTTAGCCGATTTCAAAAACGCTTAAATAGTTTTTGTCGAAAAAAACTTCACTAGCATTTATTATTTAGATCTGATTAAATCGAAACTTGCTGAGTTTAGTGGGGTAATATTTTATTTTTTATTTGATTTCAAAAACGGCTAAATAGTTTTTAGTCGAAGAAACTATCATTCCAATCAGGGTTTTTTTGAAAAGTGTCAACCTTGTAGTGAAGGTCAGCGGTCCGGTCTAAGACCGATGACCGATCTTTTTTGAGGACCGTGGTCCGGACCGGTCTTTTTATTTTCTACGGTCCGGACCGGTCTTTTATTATTATTTAAGTTTGCTTTACTATTCAATTAATATAATTTTTTTGTATATTTTATTTTATGATATTTTTCTAGATGAGTTATTTTAGATTTTGTTAATTTTTATTTTACAATATGAAAACCATAAGTTTGTCCAAGAAACATTTTACTTATAGTCCCAATAAAAAACATGGAGTATGTGTTCACTGCAGTACCAAATTTAATGTATCGTCACCAACAAGTAACAAAATATTTGTTTATAATTTTTTAAGCAATAAATTAATCAAAATAAGCAGTATTATTATTAAAATATTTTGGTTATTATTTATATAGTTCTATTTTTTCTTAAGAAACTGTCTGAATAATTAATTGTCATAACTTAACCTTATTCTTAATAAAATAATTAGGTACCTTAAGCAGACATCTGATAAAACATAAAATATATATTTCTAATGATGAAAATATCTCAAAAACATAATCTAGTCTTAATTTTAATATGCCCTCCACAAGCACAAAATCACTTTCTTCAATACCATTGGATAAATTTTATTGTTTATATAATACTCTTATATTTAATAAAATGATAAAACAAATTAAATTAGGTTAAAAAAAATATGTTTTTTATTTAGGACCACGGTCTGGATCGATCTTTTTCTTAAGAACCGTGGTCCGGTCCGAGGGTATCGGTCCAGTCCGGACAGTGACCTTCACTACAACCTTGGAGAAACCAGAAAATCTCGTTCGTCAATAATATTTTACATATATTTGATGCAAAAGGATTCCCCCTGCCCCAGTAAGTTAGTTTTTTAAAAATCCCAGATGTTTTTGATTTTTAAATCTGTTTTTTTTAACTTGAGCTAAATTCTTAGTGAGTGCTATTTAACAGTTATCTAAATGGGAAATCTTTTTAATTAGATCAATTAATACTTTATTAAATTATCAATGGTGACGGATTGGATTTTAAGATAAAATTATTTATATTTAAGAAATAAATTAAAATATTTTTATAATCTCGATCAGTTGACAAATCTTGTTCACTAATTTTTGCTAAAAACTATGACTCCAAATTTAAAGCTGACTGTCTGATGTTCTTAAATATAATATAACTTAGTTTAAATATAATATACAATAATTAAATAATTTTTGTTTAACATATTTATTATCATGTATTAAATATTTTTGCTCAATAAATAAATATAGCTCTGCCTCATTATATTCAACATCTTCATAGATGGGCGTAGAAATATGTGAATTCATGTCCTCTCCAGCAGAGTTGGACAGTGTAACATTTTAGTGTTTTACGTAGACTGAATATTTCCATAGAATATAATGTTTCGGCCAACAATTATAGCGGTTGAAAGAATTTAGAGAATAAAATAATAATATAAATAAATTAACTACTAATACTTTATTAATTAATATAAATAGTAATTACATAATTATAAATAAGAAATTAAACTAAGAAATTAAAGTAATATAAAAAAATTAAGTTCGTAAAATCATAATTTAATCATCATCTTTGGCATAATTTTTCCATTATGTATCCTTTTTCTTTAATCAACATTTGCATAGTCTCAATTTGTATCGAAATTTAATTCTTTTTTCTTGAGTAGCTTTGAATATCTTTCGGCTTCGTAATTTTGTTTAAAAGTAATTTGCCTGTCTGGCGTTTTTCTTAATCTAGTATGCATGTTACCACAATTACAACACCCTTCCACTTAGATTAGTCCCACCATTCTGCGAGTGATCTCCTTTCTTCCAATTTTGACTTTACTGATCTTGTTTCTCCACCGAATCTATTCGTTTTAATCTTTAATGTCTTCTAGTTTCTAACGACGGCGGTCTATTGTCTAATATTCTTCACTTCTAAGGACTGTTTGTATCCGATTACAATCTGAAATTCTTGAATCCTTCTGTTTCTTGTCAACCCCTTGTAAACGATTATCTCTTGATCTCTATAGGCCATTGACGAACTCGATTCACTTCTATTATCATGATTCCCGATACATTCTTCTAGCTCTTTTAATTATATTTCGTTTTAATCCCAAATTATCCTAGTCTTTGCTTGTTTCTAACGGTTTCTAGTAACAAATGACGGTAAACCACTGACGATAATTTGTCTGCGAGTAACGATTGTTTCCACGACTTCTTGTTTCTAAGATCATCGATTTTTTATCCTATACTAAAGTTTTGATAAGCAATTGGCGATAATTTGTCAACGATTAACGATAGCATCCTGGTCTTGACCACTTGTTCTACCTAGTCGCTTGTCAAGATATCGACTTTGTCTTAAGATCTCTTATACAATAATGATTTCTTGTCTATTTTGCCAAAATAAAAAAATCCGATCTCTAATTGAGCTCGATTGCGGCATAAATTTTCTAATGACGAAAAGCCGTTTCTCTTTATGAAGATTTTTTGGTTAATCCACAACCTAATATTATATATAAACGATTACTTTTACCTATAACGATCTCTTGTGACGAATTCTTTTTAGTTAAACGACTAATTCTATTCTTTTCCGAATCACTACCATTAATATTGATACCGTTTTATTGCTCTCATTCTTTGTCTTAGTGTCGATACTCATTTCATTCATCCCCTTTTCCCTTTATTTAGAATTTCTTTTCGGAGTTAATTAGACTGAATTGTTGAAATTGCCCTGTCGCCTCCACTCTCCAACATCATTGTAACATTTTAGTATTTTATGTAAACTGAATTTATCCATGAATATAATGTTCCGGCCAACAATTATAGTGGTTGAAAGAATTTAGAGAATAAAATAAATAGTATAAATAAATTAACTACTAATACTTTATTAATTAATATAAATACTAATTACATAATTATAAATAAGAAATTAAAATAATATAAAAAAATTAAAATTAAAAATTAAGTTCGTAAAATCATAATTTAATCATTATCTTTCGCATCATAATTTTTCCATTATATATCCTTTTTCTTTAATCAACATTTGCAAAGTCTCAATTTGTATCGAAATTTAATTCTTTTTTCTTGAGTAGCTTTGAATATCTTTCGGCTTCGTAATTTTGTTTAAAAGTAATTTGCCTGTCTGGCGTTTTTCTTAATCTAGTAAATTTTCATATTACCACAATTACAACAGACAGTAATACGAGAACTTGTATTAGAAATACTAAATACAAATACTTTTTTGAATATTATTTGTATTTTAAATACTAAAAAATAATAAGTATTTTGTGTTTATTACGATCTCTTTATTATAAATTGATTCTAAAAGTAAATCCACAATTTATTTTGGAAAAACTCATCTTATCCTTTTAATCCCATTTTATTTTTAAAATGAATATTTACAAAAGTGAAACCAAAGATATTATTTTTTTGAAGAATATAATGATTTAGAATAAGGTATAGTAGATTCCAGTTCCACCGAGTTATTTTTTTTATTAAGCTATTATGTTTATCAGATGCTTTTGTCATATATTCTCTAACACAACAACGTCCACATCAAGTTTGATGCAAAAAAATAAGGCCTATAGCAACTCACATATTTTTAAAATGAATAGGTAGCAAGTAGTGAAAAATAATATTTGCAAAATATGCTTTTGGATGAAGCCATCTTCATAAAGAAAATTAGGGATCCATTTTATGTTGAGAAAGAAGATTATTTTATTTTAGAAAATTCTATAAATGTTAATGTTGTATATGCAAATTCGAATGTTAATTTTGAAAAGTGATTATTCATAAATAGATGGTAGACGAAGATAATATTTTTGGGGTAATTTGTCTATGTAAATAATCTTAAATTGAACATAATATTTTTCTATAAATTTTATATATATATTCAAATATGCAAATTTTATACATTTTAATTCTTCGAAAATTGTTTAATTTTTTATATATATATATACATTGTTAATTCAAAAAAGCCCAGTTTTGGATAATTTGGATTCTTCGAAAATTATTTTATTATTTATTGACCGATGATTTTTTGATTATTAATTTACAGACGATATTTTGA